CGATCACCAACAAGCGATTTCAAGGTAACTTCAACAACAACTTTAATTTTCTCTTTTTTTCCAATTGTGCTCACTCTTCCCACTTTCCTTCAAAGAGCCATTTCCAACCCTCCAAAAGTGCAACCCCATTGCTTCAAACCAAACTCTCCAAAAACATCTTGCTGCAACACTCAACCCCTCTAAAATAGGCAAATTTCACAACTCATATTACAAATCGATCTGCAGTATTTGTTCCCACATGTGTGTTGAGATCAATAAATATGAAAACTATTTCTTATTCACATCTCACATGCATGACACATAATTAATTAATTAATAATGAACCAATAATAATATGCTTCAGTTAGTTTAGTTGTTGATGATGATGATGATGACCCTTTTTTTGGGGTGTACTTGGCTGGCAATTGGTTGTCAACACAGGTTAAGATGATGAGTGCCTTGCATCTAACTTCTATTGCTTGTGTAGACATCATCAATGGCTTTCATGAATCGTTGACTCTCTTTCTTTTTACTTGTGATCCTTCATATTTCTAGAAACTTAGAGCACTTATCACGGATCGGTGCGTAGACCTATGATCGATATCGTTCAGTCAAGTTATTTGTATTGGATTGCTTGTCACTCGATAAGGTTGAGTTTGGAGACCTTATCTCGGACTCTCTCAAGCTTGAATTTGATGAGGGACTTCACCGATTTGGGTTTCATGAAGGGGGGATGGCATGGTTTGGATCAGTCCAAAGCTAAACCGAATCAGGAACAGACTAGATCAAAAGGATCAGCTGAACAAAACTAAAAAACTCATTTGATTCGATTATGTTTCGTTTGGATTTCAACGATCCCTTTTTTTCCTCTATTATAAGATGATTCATGAAATCAAAACTGAATCGATTAATATATGATTCACTCCAAACATTAATTCGGGTCAATTTGGTTATGTATGTGGAACGAATCGCTTTATTTCAGGTGCATCACATACTTATTTCTCCCAACTCGAACCACCAAAACCAACCCTTTCCACCAGTAACCTAGCTAGCCGGTCGAACCAAGTCAAGTCTCGACAACTCAACCCCCCCAAAAAAAATCATTGGCGCACTCGTCGTCACGTCGGACGGCGGGAAGGCAGCTGTGGGACCCACCAATTTTTGTTGTTGCAATTCCCGAAATGTCCTTGTCTTCCTGATATCGTGCGACCGTCGCGTGTCGTTATCGGCAGGTAAAAAGGCTGCCTTTCTTTCTGGGGCGTTTTGGGGAATCTCCGCAGTCGAAAACGGGTCCCACCACTTGATAAGGAATCCAGCCAATAAGATATCGAAACGTGGCGGGAGCCCGTGGACCTGAAGATGTAGTGGGCTGGGGGCCCAATCTGACCAAAGATGGGGCAGGGAGACGAGGGAACCGTGAAGTGTACTTCCTATTGGCCACGACGCTGACCTAATCCAATTCTTACACCCCCACTCTCTCTCCGTCGCCGAGTGACATCACGCGCTCTTTTAGGTGAAAGCATTGGACAAATTACATGGAAAGGTTAATTTTTGTTCGAGTTTGGAGAACAACGTGCAATTAAAAGTGTAATTCGATGTAGAAGCGTTTTAAGTTTTATAGCGTGATTTTGACTACAATTGTAAGTGAAAAATGCAATTCTACAAAGATGCATTTTGGTGATTTAAAAGCGTAACAGTTCAAGCTTTCAAGTTTTGAAGTACGGTCTTTACTACATTAAAACATCATTGTCAGTTGAGTATTAAGAGGACAAATAAGTAGTCAATATGATCATATGCATATGTGGGTAATGTCTTGGTAAGAAAGATGAACGAGTTTTGTGCAGGATGACAAGTTTTTTGTGTTAAACAACCGACTAAGAAGTTCAAAATGAGCAAATCGAACGTCACAATCCATGTTACATAACTCACAAAGTTAGCCCCTCAGTAAATATACAAAGTTTAATTTACTTAAAGGGTTATCAAACACAAACAAAAAAATTTGTCATGGGATTTCGATGCTTTGAATTAAGTTTGTCGCTAGGATTTGAGTTAATCGTGGTAGTCACTCGACTTTTCCTTTCGTTTAATTTTTGGGCAAACATTAACATGTTAATTTTAGGTTAATTACTTAAAAAGTAATTGGGTCAGCATCGGACAATACATATCTATTAAAAATCTTTTGAAGTGGATCATGGTTGCCCGGATCAATGTTTAAGTAGATTACTACTACAAGTATAGCTTGTGATGGAACGAAGGAATGCGTTAAAGTTGTTATGCGGTTATTTTTTATATTTAGGTGACATGGACTTCATTTTACCATGGATAATCTAGATTCTCAATATATATGAATCTTCAGAAGATCCCAACGATAGATTGATGCAAATCCATTGACAAGTTAGTTACCCAAACCCAATCCATAGATCACGAAATTTTACAAATTTTGAGATATGATTTTAACTTTTAAAGCATTTTTTATATATATTTGGACAATGAGGTTGAGCATAGAGATTCCGACACATGAATCACCCTACTTGATTTACAAGTAATCCATATCATCAAATTTTCTCATGACGATGTGAATCTTTTTTCGGATTCTGGACGAGGGAAACTACGTACTCCTGACTCATGAGACAAGCTCCGGCCTCATGCAACCCGTGAGAATCTTCAGAAGAGGTTAGATGCATGAGTATAGAAGCGAGTGCTTTTTAAGATGAACTCGATGGTAGTTTCAACCATTTTCATTTGTGACCTTGGCCTTGCCACAAAGAGACCCCTCGAGATATTGCTTTCGGAACTCTAATATTCAGTGTTGTTTGCGGTTTAACCCCAAAACTGCATTCACACGTTCATTTTAATATTAATGTTATTCCATTTGGAGGAAAAAATGACATTGTTATGATAATAGTAATAACAATGAGTCAATGATAAATCACAGTCAATGTTGGTTAAGCATTGTGAAAGCTACACTCTTAAAGAAATAATAACCACACCTTAATCATTTTTAGAGTGGGAAAACACACACAAAAAAGCGGCTACAAGGCATGGATTGCATATTACTATTTGATATTGGATTAGATAATTTGTTCACAACCCTTATTCTTATTGGTTGTGTGCGTGCAATCGAATATGCATTATAAAAATACAAAAAATTAAATAATAAAAACAAATGAAGGTCTTCAACATTTTCATTCTAATAAAAAAAATCATGTAAAAGAAGAAGTTTTCAACATGGAATGGCTCAAATTTTAGTATTTGAAAAAAAAAAATTAATGGAGCATTTTTCGCATGGCCAAAAGAGTTTGAAGAGAAGACAATGGGTGGATATAGTGTTGGGCATGTTCATTTGCTTTGATAATTTTCCATATTTTATGAGGGAATTTTTTTTTAATATAGAAAGGCCAATAGTTCATTTCCTTTTAAATATTTATAGAAAAAAATCCAAATTTAAAATTATTATTTTTCTTACTCACAAGATTTGACATAGTCTTGAATATGTATCATAGTACATGTGTGGTTAGTCTTATGCACATTCATATTTTGCCATGGTTGTTTTTAGTGTATTAGGAATCAATCAGCATTCACCAACCACTATATCGATTGATCGTGTGTTACAACATCAAAATTTATATTTCTAAATTTAAAATTTATTTTTACAAAGACCGATGAGAAATTGATATATCTAATTATAGTAAAAGCGTTTATGGTGCAATTTTATTTATGTTCCTTGAGCTAAAAGTCTCTTGGTCGCACTTAATATTTCGATAAGATAATTTGATCAAGACGTTTGTTTAAAGTGGCTCAATAACTCAAGAAAAATATAAACGGTAATCGTAAGTACTCTTGGTTGAATTATTTCCGAAACTTCATGTTTACGCTTGCTATATCTTAATTTGAGTACAATTATAAATAACAAAGCACATTGGGGAAGTACAAAATAGGAACAAAAAGGAACTAGAATGGCTACTAATTGAATAATTTGTTGCAATGGAGTAATTAATCTTTCCATATATTTCAATAGAAGAAAAGTTCTTGCTTTAAGTAATTTAATTTATAATATTTCCAAATTTGTTTCGTGGACAAAGTGGAAGGTAAATCCTTGGTAGTTATAATCCATTAAATTTATCCAGATTCTGCTGTATTTATTATCATACATTTTTGTATCAAATACCCTAAACCCCATCTATATTCAAATTTCAAATCCAGTTATTTTCAACTATAGTTGTTGTATTCTATACTTCACTTTTTTTTATGTCCAAAGTATAAATTTGATTAGATTGCATGATCTACTATTCCAAATGCATTGCATTCTGAATAGTTTGGGACTTTAAATATGATTTCTGACTTAATTTTCTGTATTACGACACACTAAAATAAATTTGTTGCTTTTACAATAAGAAAATCTCGACGTTCATGCCAGTGTCTCGATGTTTTCCATTGGTCGCTGGCTCATTGCCCTATATCATATTATAAAAGTTAGTGACGGTTGTCGATTTATCAACCAATCAAAAAGTTGTTACTTGCGGTAATTTTTTTACCATATTAAAATGTCAAGAGTGGACATCAGTAGTTTCGAGAAGTCAAATTATCGTCACACTATTCTTCACCATCGATGACCTACGAATAAAAAGTAATGACATTTCTCATGACGAAAACATCTTCGAGAAGTCTAATTGATGAGTATTACACTTAAATTACATCGATCTTAAAAAAATAAACGATGAAAATTCTTTCAAACAACAAATTTACAAAACGAACTAACTCATTCCCCTTAGTCCTTACACAAAGCAAGTCAAGGGGAAGTTAAACTAATGAAAAAGACAGCAAAAAAATCTGTTTTCTTAATTAACCAAATCGCTTATTAATTTAGTTAAACACCGAATTAATGGAATTCCCGGAAGAGAGAAAAAGGAAGAAAAATACTGTTTAATTGTTTTAATTACCTTGCCTAATTATTAATTATAAAATGGCGAAAAAGATGACCTCCATTATCGAGTTAAACAAATCGGGAGAAAGAAGAAAGAGAGAGGGAAGGGCGAGTGTGAAGCGCTGCTCTGTTTTTTTGTGTTGCATCTGCGAAGAAGAAAATCGGAAACAGAAAAGAAAGCTAAAGACAAATACAGAGTGTAGAGAGAGAGAGAGAGAGAGAGAGAGAGAGAGATTTGAGCTTTATGCTGTTTTGTTGGGAGTTGAAAAACTGAGTGGCGTATTCTTCTTCCTTTTCAATTTTTTTTGGTCTGCTTTTGGCTTAGCAATCGCCATTATTGAGCTTCAATCTCCACTATTTCCATCTGGGTTCTGGGTTCGGCTTCATTTTCGCCGGAATTTGGGATTTCAAGCCGGAAAGTTTGCTCCTTTCTTTCTGGGGGATTTGTGCTCTGTTTTCCCCCTTTCTGTTTGGGAGTTTGCTCTGTTTTTTTTCTCCTTTTTCCATTCGTAATGAAGGTGGAGGACGTTAGCCCCGGCGGCGGCGGCGGCAACTCAGCTTCTCTCGGCCGTGAGTTTTTCCCGAACGGGTTGCGGGTTCTGGCCGTCGACGATGACCCGGTTTGTCTCAGGCTTATCGGGCAGCTACTTCGCAAGTGTCAGTACCAAGGTATAATCCACTTTCTTCCTCCATTCTCTGTTTCATTTTAACAGAATACCCTGGTTTCATCCTCTGTTTAATTTTAAAAGAATACCTGGTTTTACTTATTAGATTTGCCATTTGATAAATTTTGATTCCATATGCAAATCTCAGCTTGGAGGAATGTTCCAATTTTTAGCTCCTTGGGCACCCTGTTAATGGCGTCCTAATTTTCTCCAATCTCTCTGCAACTACACGAAATTTCATAAATTCTCTCTTATTTTGGCAGTCACGGTGACGAATCATGCGCTGGAAGCTCTGAAAATGCTGAGGGAGAGGAGAGACGAGTTTGACTTGGTAATCAGCGACGTGAACATGCCAGACATGGACGGGTTCAAGCTTCTGGAGCATGTCGAATTCGAAATGGACATTCCAGTAATCAGTAAGCTAGCCCCTGAAAATTTCCCCCTTTCCACACTTCACAATTCAATTTCCCCCTTAATTCTGATTGTTCAATTTTGGATCTCTACCAGTGCTGTCTGGTCACAGTGACAAGGAGCTGGTCTACAAGGGCGTGACTCATGGGGCTGTGGACTATCTGCTGAAACCGGTTCGAATGGAAGAGCTGAAGAACATATGGCAGCATGTGGTGAGGAAGAGGAGAATGGGAGGGAAGAAGAGCGATTCGTCGAGTTTGACTAACAAGGTTGAGAGGGATGGCAATGGAGTTGTTGGTGGTGTCGGATCGAGTGAGTGCTCTGACGCGAATGGGAAATCGACGAGGAAGAGGAAGGATCAGGACGATGAGGAAGGGGAGGAAGACGATGGGGATAGTGATGGAAGAGGGGAGAATGAAGAAGGAGGCAACCAGAAGAAGCCTAGAGTTGTGTGGTCTGTTGATCTGCATAAGAAGTTTGTTCATGCTGTTAATCAGCTGGGATATGACAGTAAGTGTCTCAAATGTTTGATGTTGAAGTTTCTTTTTTGGATTCATGGAATGCTTTTGGTTTCTGAATAGTTCAGGGACTGATTGATTTGCTGTTGCAAATTTTGGTTTTTCTTTTGCAGAGGCTGTTCCTAAGAAAATTCTTGATATGATGAATGTTGATGGGCTCACAAGGGAGAATGTAGCTAGTCATCTACAGGTGATAAAATCTTTCCATGTCATCCTAGATGTAATTAGAATGTCAAATTTTGATTTGAAACGTTTGACCATAAATCGATTGGTTTAGGTATTACTTGGCCGACGTAAAATGATTATAATGTATAGTAACTAACTTGTTCTGCGTCACGTTAGACTCGTTCTATTTAAGTTCTTTCTATTTCCTCCTACTTTTTACTCTTTTTAATCATACTATATCTTTGAACCCATTTAATAGTCGTGTCGTACTCTTTCTTTTCATTTATTAATTTAGAAAATGTTCTTACTATGCAGTTTCATGTTATAGTTGAATGGTAATCAACAATACTATAGAATTTGTTACTAATATAGTTTAGCAACACCACAGAGTTGTTCCTGATGTGAAGTTTTTGGTACAGAAATACAGGCTCTACCTGAAAAGAATGAGCTGTGACAAAGCCATGGGCATCCCATTTGGATCCAAAGATGCCTCCGCCTACCTTGGCATAGCCTCATCAATGGATGGATTCGACGAATTTCGATGCTTGACAACACCGGGAAGGCTCTCAACATACCAACCAGGCAGCTTGCTTGGCAGACTGAATCCTTCATCTGGTCTAACTTTGAGAGGAATCGCCTCATCTGGCTTGCTCCAGCCAACCAATTCCCAAACTTTGCTCAATTCTTCTGTCACTAATCTTGGACAACAAGTTCAGCAGTCATCCTTTTTCTCCTCTGCCCAAACTTCAGGCTTGTTTTCACCTTCTCAAAGTAAGCCAACTTTTGGACATGTTTCTAGCATTGGAGGAGCTGCCAGTACTTCTGGAAACACTATGCTGATACAGCATAATCTTCACAGTAGGGGAACGTTTGGAGCTCAGTCTGCTGGTCTTGGTATACCCTCGTCGAATCGGGATTCTTTCGGTGTTGGCATCCGACATGGACCGTTGTCTCCCAACTTGTTGGACAACAGCAGCAGATGTAATGGAAGCTGGGAGAATGCAATCCAGCTACCAAAGTTTCCTTCCAATCCACTGAGTGAACAGTTCAGTCATGAGCCCTCATTGTCTGCAAGGGAGTTTAGGCCTTCTTCCAGCTCTCAGATGGGGAATATCGATTTCAGTTCTGCTAGCCTTGGACCTCCACTAGCTGGTGCTGAAATGACAGGTCAAGTTGGCCTCATTGGCAATGTGATTGAGGGCTTTAGCAGTCCCGTCTTGACCAACTCATTTGGTGGGATGAACTCGATTGGTTCATTAGACCAGGTGCCATTTGATCATGGCATGGATCAAGGGAAAAGCTTTGATGGTTCTTCTTCTGCCGCGGGGCAATTGAGTGGTGGTGTGTCACCAACTGGGTTTGAAGTTGACAAATCACAGAATGGATTCATCACTGATAGTAGCAGCTTCGATCCTTTGGATGATATGGTGGCTGCAATGATGAAAAGGGTAGCTAGCCCTTTTTCTTCTTTTGATTCCCTTGCTGTTGATGATGCTATTTCTTTCCACATTGTTTGCTGACTCCTTCAGTTAATGTATTCTTTGCAGGAGCAGAATGAAGGTCTGATCATCGACGGAGACTTTGGACTAGACTCGTTCCAAATTGGATCATGCATTTGAGGGTGGAGAAGAAAAGGGGCTTTAGAAGTTTCACTAGGGGACTTAATTGTATCATCATGGCTCTTTTTTAGTTTCTAGACTTATTTTTGGGTTCTGTCCCTTTTGGTCTCTGCAACTTTTGTTCTTGTTTAGTGGTACTGTCCCAATTCTCTCCAGTGACTGCAGATAAAAGTTCATTTCTTTTAGTTGGTAACTTGTGTTTTAAGTTAGGACCTTTTTAGGGTTAATCTAAAATGTTCTAGTTTCTCCATGAAAAATAATGGAAATGGCATAATGTCTTCAAGAATCTACTTTCTGGGTTCCTACATTTTGGTCCATTTCTGGAATTCTAATGTTTAGATTTGGAAATGTGACTATGGATTGATAGAAAAGTTGTTTTTAATGAATTAGGATTATATGATTTTTGAATTCTCAACTTTAATTTTTGAATTCGCCATGGGAATCTTTCAAGAATCTTTTATGAGATAGAGTTAATTAAATAAGAATCTTTAATGAGATTACATTCCCTGGTAGAGGAGCTATCATTAGCAAATTGGATTTAAGTGAATATTTTTTACCATTCATGAGTGAATAAATTGAAAATTAATGTATTCAATGATGAGATAAATGTAAAGAAGGATAAAAGATTTCCCCACAGATCTCTCTTCAGTTTACAAATTCGAATCTGAAACAGGATTTTTCCCATCTCATCCTTAAACTGGAAGAATTTTCCTGAATATGATCATCAAGCTACTTGATCTATGAACAATGTAATAAGCAACAATATAATAAAAGCTTTGAAGTTCCTTCAACTTGCCTTGTCTTTAACAATAAGAACAATGTATTACAACAAAAGAATCTCAATATCAAGCATTTGAACTCTCTGTCAAGTTAAAAAAGGACCTCTAATGTTCACCAGTGTATCTCAACAAGTCATTGAATCAATCAAACATTAAAAGAATTCATATAAAGCTCCTAACTCCACCTGTTAGACTCCAAACAATGGAACACAAAAGGGGAAAAAAAGTAATCAATCGAGTTCAATTAGCTGAGCTCTTCTCTCTGCAGCCCTCTTCCTAACAAAGATTCCCCACCTTAATGCAGCCTTCAGCTTCAGCCAACCAACAACAGCTTTCCCGGAACTTCTTCCACGATCCTGCGACGCATACACTTGATCCATCTGAGGCTGATATCCTCCTCCTCCATCTCCTTGAATGTTGTAAGAATAACCACCATCGCCAGGCCCACCGAAGCCCGACCCACTCCCAAAGCCACCACCCATTCCCATGCCAAATGACCTTAGCAGCCTCTGCATATCGTCTCCTTCCAACATCTCCAAGCTTCTCATCCTGATTTCCTCCGCGAAAAAGTCTCCTCCAGAGTGGTACCCGGGTGTACCCACTGACATGAAGTCCATGCTGCTGCTGGTCAATGCTGCAGCTTGCTGTTGCTGTTGTTGATGACTGCTGCTGCTCATGGTGGCGGTGGTTGCTGATGTGGCTTGATGGTGATGATCTGGCCTCACGAATGGGAAGTCGATCAGCTGAGATGGAAGTGGTGGGTCTGGGGAGATGTAGAGCTGCTTGTTTTGATTGCTTGGTACAAAATGTTGTTGCGCGTCATAGTTAGTTGTGGAGACAGGTGGAGGAGGCAAGGCTTTCTTTGGGGGCTTGCTGGCTGCCAGAGCAGTGAGGACCTTGCCATCGTATTCTATGACCTGATGCCAGTTCTCATAGGCTCTCTTAACTATAGAATCCACTGAAAGCTGTAAAGATCGATGGATAAAGTAGTTTAGATATCAACATTATTCACAGACGTTGGTTAGCTTTGGTTTCTTTCTGAATATCTGTTAAAACATCTGACCTTTTGATTGTGGTCAAGTGATTCAAGGGAGACAAACTGTCCTTCAGATATAAGGCCTCTTAGCTCACATATATGGTTGAACACAACTCCCGTGCTATGAGCTCCATCAGTGTAGTAAACATACAGCTTTCCTCCTAAGACACAGGTCTTGGCATGCTCCACTGTGTTCTCCCACATTCTATTTGACATTCCACTTCCGAGAATCTGCAATCATGGTTTATTGTCAGATACATGGCATAGACAAAGGTAAAAAAATGTTGAATTGAAGAGGAAAGATTATTACGCTTCTCAGTTTCTGTGGATCCCTAACGAGTATCCGGAGGAAATCTTCGACTGTCTCGATCTGGGACTTCACCAATTTCTTGTGCAGTGCTCCATCTTTCGCTATTCTATCCAATCTCCAAACTTCGTCATGTAAAGCTGGTGGGTAGTGTTTCTTGTACACTGTCATCATTCAAACAACTTTCTTCAGTCTCAAGGCACATCGATGGCTACTAAGAGAAGAGCTTTTCAATAAATTGCAGTAAAAACTCACATTCTCCTCTGTGATCCTTAACAGCAAAAGACTCGGTCTTGGCCTCACGAACACGAACCCCATCACAATGTCCATCGGCAACTTTCACACCAAGCCTGAACTTCCTGCTCCTTATCCAGCTCGAATTATCAGTGAAACTGAGATCTCCCAGAGTTCCTACACCTTCCTTGAGAACCACCTGCAGCTCGCCGGTCAATAATGGTCTCTTCCCTTCACGTTCCTTGACCACGTAGTTCTCAAAGTGTTCCGGCGTCCAGTCTTCCTCATTTTCCTCATTGAAGTCGCCCTCAAGAACCACAACATTCAGTTTGGCTGCTGATTCTGGTCCCATATGGACGACACTACCCGTGGATGAGTCTATCAGGACGACGTGGATGGCTGCTCCTTGTTCCCCCTCTATTCTTGCACCTGTGAAGAGATGAGGTGGCATCCGTGTTTGGAAATGGAGTTGTAGGGCGTTGCCCCCTGGACCAGTTAATTTTGGTGGTGGCGATCTGTTACCCGGAGAAATTTTGATCCATCATAAATCATTTCAGAAGTTTCAGTGATTGAACAGGAAGTATAACAGAAAAATGTCCAATACCTTCCTGGCAATGTAGCATTTCCCATCCTCGAGAGAGCACGTTCAACTTCTTCACTGACCTGTTCATTCAAATTTTCAAGATCAAATACTAACAAAGGTACACATTCGATGAAAGTAACACAAGAGTACTTTGAACGAATCTCTGGCTAGAGATTTTGGACTTACAATTCTGCGGAAGAGAGGCTCTAGAGATGAGCATAGTCTTTGCAAACTATCAACCTTCAAAGCTTCCACAATCACGCTGCATAATAAGTTCAACAATCAGCAAGCTTGCCTGTGAAATCCAGGGCAAATTGAAGACGGGTACTATGGAAGGCCTTTAGTGTTCCCCCTTCTGCCTTCATCTCTGAGTGGATAATCCCTAGATTCTTAATATCAGTTTCCCCAGACCCCTAAACTGTCTCGAGATCACCAAAATTCCCCATCGGATCCACAAAACTGAAGGCCTAATCATGTAGCAATGATCAGTCAATCTTCAGAGCCTTCACAATCAAATTGCTTTACATGTGGATCAGCAAAATTGACCCTGAACTATGTGCACTTCACAATCCAAACTAAGCAAGACCAGGCAATGAACTATGTAGTGGTTTCAAGTTTCAACTCTAAAAGCATCACTCTCCATATCCTTGTCTGCATATCCCCACTGACCTCTTCACTCTCTCGGTATCTTGAAACACTTGGGCATCAGATCCACAGACTGACAATGTAACTAGAACCAATCCATGAACAGTGACAAATTCTCGAAGTGACAAATTCAGAACTCAACCCAGATGCTACCCATATCCACACCATTTCTAAAAGCTATCACTCCTCTTTCAACTCAAAAACACAAACACCTGGCACACAAAGTCCAGCTCCAACCATAGCCCAAAAATCAACCTAGAAATCAAAAAAGAAAGACAGAAAATTGACTTACCTTGCTAAAGCAGGCATTTTGGGCTTCTTCGAATCAGGCAAGTGATCACTCTCATCTTCAACACCCTGCTCATAACCTCTCTTCTCCGCCCTCCTCCCTCTTGAACCATCCATTTCTCACCACAGTTCTTTCAAATCCTCCCCACAAATCTAGCTAAGATTCTACACGCAACCCAGAAGAGAAACTTCCACAGAGAATCAGAAAGTTCAGAGCTTTGTCAAACCTCGGACGATACCCAGAAATTAAAAATTGGAAAAAACAAAAGCTGCTGCTATATTTAGGCGATCTGGGTAGTGAGGGGAGAGGAAGGAAATTTGGATGACGGTGTGGTTTATGCAAAAAGCTTTTCACTTTCTTCTTCTTGGATTAGATCCCAGGGGAAGGGCAAGGCAGCACCAATTGACTGATTCTTTATAAGTTTTTGTGTTGGGTTACGATCTGAAATATTGTATCATAATGATAAAGGATTTGGATTTGTACATAGAAAACAAGGTTGTCAAACCGGTTTGTGCCAGTGTGCCGGTTTAGCAAGTGAAATGGTTCGACCGGTGGTACATACCGGTTTGTGCCGGTTCATGCCGGTTAATATTACAAATAATTTACAAATACTCATATTTAAACATGACATTTAACGTCAATACCTAAATATTTGTACTTGAATCCAACAAATAACATCAACATTTAACTTTTTAACACATAAAATAAATAATAAATTACTTTTTATCAATTAAATTCACGAAGATAAAATCATTTTACTTGGAGATTCGTATATCGATCATGCCGGTCATACCGGTGGTGTCATACCGGTTTTATGACCGGTACAGGTTGAACCAGGTTCAACCAGTGGCACGCCGGCCGGCGTGACAACACTGATAGAAAATCATACATTAATTTCAATTACTGTATGCCCAAATTGAATAAAAATAATAAGACCCTGAGAGAGCAGACATGAACAGCTGTGCTTCTGATGGAGGGAAAGTCTTTGAAACCGCGTCTTTTTAATTAATTTCTTTGCTCTTTTTTCTTTTGGGTGGGGAAGAAGGCATGTGGTAATTGACTAAATTGAGGTCATGGTCATTTTTGGGGGTTGAATGCCACAAGACTCTCCAAAGTGGAAGAATTTATACAGTCAATTGCACGTTTTAATGGCTTGATTTTTCGGGTTTTGTTAGGAGATTTGTGATGGCAAACCATGAAAAATGTTTGTATACATTATAGATGATAAGTGATGATAGGAAACGAGTTTCAAATTGTGTTTCAACACAATACAAATAAACATTCTCAAAGTTTAGTTATAAGTCGGTTTGAAAACAAGTTATTATACAAGGGAAGAAAGGATGACGGAACTTGGAAAAAAAATTCAATGATATATCGTTTGGAATATCGTGATGATAATATTGAATTTTAGATTTTTGAAAGATTTAATTACCTATATGTTTTATTTCTCGTTCCAGATATCCGAACTAACTTTGCTCAATAATTTATCTGTGATGCTATTTTCTCCCGATATATATACTTCACCCTTAAACTTCGTCGTTTGAAGTAACCTAATGCCGTGATCCTTAAAAGAAACAACTAGGGTTAATCATTCTTCATTAAGCACCCACAATAGTTGAGGAGTGCTCTTTGAATTATTCACCCATCTGTCAGCATCTTATCATCAAAGATTAGCATTAATCATGGACATTATCGATCTGCAGCAGAATCTTATTGATTATATACACTCCACATCACATGTGTCCGGCCTGAAGAGCTACAATAATGATATCATGCAAACTAATATAGATGAAACAACACTCAGCACTGTGTTTGCTAGGCGATGGTGGGTAAAATCTAAGGCAAAGGACATAGTTTCTCAGTCAAGTCCAACTTTGGGGAGGTTCGGAGGCTGCAGCATTATTGCCTGTCCTATCTCTGAGCTGCCTTAATAAGAAGTTTGTCAGCTTCTAATGGAGGCATGATTGGGATCGGCAGTCTATCATTTACCTGTGTTGGCTTTCTAGCCAGGCCACGAAGAGATGAAACTAGCCTTTTAAGGGACAGAAAAGGCACAATGGTAATCAATCGGGCTACTATAGGGCCATTATACGTACTTATATCGTTGAATTGTTCCATATCGACATGTAGTAGTAGTAGTAGTAGTAGTAGTAGTAGTACGATTCCACGGTAATGTAGAGGCGAGAAATGGTACCTGATTTGAAGGTGGAAATAGAGTCAATCACCTCTACCTGTTTGATAAAAGTATGTTCAACCCTTAAAGAGTAAATGCAGCAGGATCAGGATTTGCTACCAGGAATCATTAGTTAATTCAATATACTAAAGAGACTGTTTTACACAAGAATCCAGGTAGACATAGTAATAGCAGTCAAATTCAGACCATTATCTGTCAGCCTAAGGGAAATGAATGTTCGTACATTAATCTTATCCCACTTTTGGTAGCAGCCATAGTCTGAACTTTTTGGTCTTCCAGGCTTCCAGCCATCTTATCTTACATCAATCTTATCCCACATCTGCAGAACTCTTCAATCATTACCATCGAAAATTCAGCAGCCAGCAAGGACCGGTAGACCATATTCGAGATTCAAAGAAGGGGGAATGATCACAGAATCAAGAGGAGTTGAGCTTGCCCAGCTTAGCTTTGGCTGAATCAAGTAGTTCTGCAACAAACATTCACACGATTTAACAGGAAGGTGAAGCCTTCATTGGAAAGAAAGTATCCAAGTAAGAAGACGAGACTGAATGGATAGAGAGAAAAGCAACTCTGTTTTTTACTTTGCTCGGAGGCTGTTGCTTTCTGAATGGTTGTGCGGAAAAAGAGGTTTCCAGTCTTCTGGTAGACAGGCTATGCCAAAAAAACATCAAAATCTATGTTATTAAAGCATCTATAAATAACCAACGAACCAAGCTTTAAATGGAACAAGCTATCATAAGACATAAATCATAATTGGCATATCCAATATAGCGTGGTATTAGATTCGCATAGCTTCTGCGAATCTAAACATGTTGCAGCTTGTGTGCTAAACATGGTGAAACCATCTTCCCTATAAACCTCAGATCAGTGAACTTGATGTAGAACAGTTATGAGGAAAACAACTGTTGAACATTCCCTAAACAAAGCTTCGACTTTAGGTTGATAAAAAACTATGTCAAGCTACCAAGATTTCGCTCACAGAAAACACGACGCCATCAATCGATGTTCAACAGAACGCTCTCCAGTTATCTTCTACCGCAATGGGATACCTTTGCTTGCTCATGCAGTATGAAATCTATCAGGTTCCAGGGACATCCAAATACGAATAAGAAGACCTAAAACTCTTAAGCACCATAAACCCACCCAAAACTGGGGAACCCACGATTGACCCAGTGAGCATCAAGATGAAACCTTTTCCCATTGTAACAACTTCCACACCTTAAATAGACTAATAAATAGTTGGATTCAGATTCTTATCAGTAATGAATGCAAAGAACAACCGATAGAAAACCCAGATGGGATCCAATCTCGTAAAAAGCTAGTTCAGAATTGGATGCTTTCCTCCCAAAAAGTAGCAAACTTCAGGAGCTAATTGTTACAAAAAAAAAAAAAAAACTCAGCTGGGAACTCCAAAAGTGCAGGAAATAATGGGAAATTAGAGCTTACTCGAGAGGCAGGAAGATGACCGAGCTCTGCCACTGCAACTTCGTGCGTCCTAATCTGAAATCCGATCAACAAACACAAAATCCCATTCTTGTTACCATTTGTGTAAAGACAGATTTGAGATTACACAAGTCAAATCGACGATGGCTGTAAGAAAGAAGAAATAAAAGAGAAACGGTTACCTCTTTCACAAGATTCAGCTTCGTCTCCGCCGACGCAGAGGAGCTCGCCGTTGCCATAGAGGAGTTCCGTCCAAATTTGCTCCGCCGGTGGAACAGAAATTCTCAAAAAAGACTGAAGTAAGAAACCGCGAGTTTCGCTGACGATTTATTGAAAACTCGCGGTAAAAGAGTCAGGCTTTACGGGCCGCAGCGATGGCCCATCAAGATGAGCGCTATCGAGAGCCCAAACTTTCTGAAATCGGCCCAGAGCTACTACCTATATAAATATAGCCCAAACAGGCGAGCGCAAAACCCTTCCATCTCCGAAAGCGCCAGCGGAAGCTCTCAGAAGAAGGCAGCAACAGTAGAGCTAAGCAACAAGGAGCCGCCATGGGTAAAGTTTCTCAAGCCTGCTGCTTTACTTATCGGAAGTCCTCCGATCTTACCTTAATCCGTTTGGTTTTGCTCTTTTGTTGATTGGGTGTTGCTGTCTTTGATCATTTTGCAGGTAAGGTTCACGGATCTCTGGCTCGTGCCGGCAAGGTGAGAGGCCAAACACCCAAGGTCGCGAAGCAGGAGAAGAAGAAGAAGCCACGTGGCCGCGCCCACAAGAGGATGCAGTACACCAGGCGCTTCGTCACTGCTGGTAAGAACTCTCGTTTTCTTCTTCTTCCTTGCTTTTTTGCACTCTTGTTTTTCGATTCAGAACTTAGATGAAGGGAAATTGGCTGGTGTTCGTATTCACGAGTGGATTCAATTAGGGTTCTGATGGGACTTAGCGGAATTAGGTGGTTACAATTCGATTTTGCTGCATTGCTTACTGGTTAATTAGACTGGAGTTGGTCTTTTCCACTCTTGTTCTGTATTCTGTCCTTCAATGAAGGACATTAATGCATAACACTAGCATTCTGTTGAACTTAGCTTTGGAGGTGGAATTATTATTAGAGTCCAAGCCTGATTAAGTCTAGCATTTTTGTAAACTTGGATTTATCTGATGTTCGCAGTTTGTCCCTGATGGATTCGAGCATGTTCATTGTTGAACATGTTGTCTGTGTGAGAATCTCACTTTGTCATTTTTCGAATCTACAATGAAATCTTTAGGGCTTGGTGAAGCTAGATCCTGTGCTTAAACTTGATTTCGTTAACACCATGAGTTTCTGGGACAGTGTTGTGATCATGTTTCTGTCTCTCCCTTTTGTTACAGTTGTTGGCTTTGGCAAGAAGCGTGGACCTAACTCGTCCGAGAAATCGTAAAGAAGAGAAGTTCATCAGCTGAATCAATGAGAAGTTTGCAGTCCACCGTTGCTTTTTTGACAAGCATACATTTGCTCTCCTTTTTCCTGTTAAGGATGAATTGAGTGTTGAGTTTTCGGACATGTCATGTCCTATTACTTATTTAGTCCTATGAAAGAATTAGTTGTTTAAAGCCAAGAGTGGTCCCTGTTTTCCTCTAACTGTGTATGTTTAGTTCACTTTTCATGATTCTGGTGGTTTTCTGGTTTTGAATCATGTTGCAGCTTGCTTGTTCCTTCATGAGAGAAATGCTCGAGGAACTACACACCCTAGTTGCTTGGTTCTTCTTTCTAGTGGTTCACAATCGAGCTGATTCGAAAACTACTCTTTGCTTGATTTCTAAGACAATTCATAGAATCGAAATCAAATTATGGAGATTAAACATGAAGTGCTAGTTGCTCTGCTCCATTCAATTGAACTACGGACTTGAAGAGACCTAGAAGCTCAATCTTGGGGAGCAATGAAAGATAAGACCTTCAACACATATCATCCAAGATTGAGGTCAATATTAAACTATAGTAAACCAAATGGCTTTGCAGGGTCTTTTTTGCCCTATCAACAATAAAATGGTTTCGTAGCTGAAAATCCCAAAAAATCTCTCTTTTACAAAAACAAAACCATATACCATAGATACACCAATACAGTGCTTACCAAACCCTGCTGCCTCCCACTACTTGCATTTCCATATTTGTATGGCTTGGGAGGGACTGGTAGAAGGTTACGTTCTTTATGCAAGGAAAAAAATTGATGCAACAATGAACTATTGTTGTGACTGCTATAGATGGTTCTTCTCCTTCTGTGTTGGCGATAAACTACAGTTACTCTCCTTCCCAGCCAACTTGGCGGGCCCTTCGCTCCCACAAAGCAGTGATCTTCCTCTCCCGACGCAACAGCGCCTCAGCCCTTTCCCTGGAACCCTCGCAAGTTTCTGTGGCAGCGATGCACTTCTCGGCTTCTTTCTGGTACTGAGTCGCCACCCTCTTTGCCTCGCCGAATGTGATGTTCACATGGTGAGCGTGTTCTAAAGCCACGGCTTCTTGCAGCTTCAGCTCCTCCGTCAGCAGGTCCACAAACTGCTTCTCCATCTCCTTTTTCAGTTCTGGATCGCTGCTCCCGCAATCTGTTCGTGACAGGAGTTAGTTATTTTGCACAGTAGTTGGTTGTTTGGAGGAAGATGCATGCTATAGCAAGTAGGAATAAGGAAACCCAAGAATACCCAATAGACTGCTGTACATTTTCGTCACATGTTCACTGAAGACTATAATGCCTAATCTATGCTTCAAGATATTGAAGTAAATTGAGAGAAGTTTGGTAAGGTGGAATGTTGTCTAACCTGTGACTGAGAGATTGGCCAACCCTGCAAGCATAAAAGAGGAGAAACCCATTAGGAATCGATAATAGTAGATTATAAATGAACTGTTTATGTACACAAACAAACAACAGAAAATGGAACTAAGTGTATATAAAATTCTTGGTTCAGCTTTGATCATCTGGCAATGCAGGTATGAGTGCCTTCACAAGTTGAAAGATAGAAAAGGCGAGAGGATGCATTCAAGTAAGGGAACTTACATATATGCAGAAAAATCTAAAACAGTCACTGCTGCATTGCACCCGAATCTAAAAGAGTTCCCATCCAGGCATGGGAGTTCTAAACTAAAGTCCCCAGACAGGTTTCACCCAAGATCAACAGACATCTGAGGTTAAGGTATAGCATCAAGAGAATCGAAAAGATGGGATCAACTTCATAACTACTAACTAGATTCTGCATAATGGTCTTGGATGAGGCCACAAAGCGACGCTGGGATCAATTGGACAGAAGAACTGCGGCCAGATGATTCAAGAATAGCCTCAAATGGATTCACAAATGTTGTGCTGTTCAAATACCGGTCTGGCAAACTGACAGTATTGCGTAGATGGAAAATGATTTGTCTAATCTTATGACAACTGATACCAGAGAGTAATATGTAGCTCTTAAGGAATACTCTTTATCAGAACCGCCTGATGTACATTCCAATTTAGCCTGATTCAAATCATGCCAGCTTCAGCCCTATCAGCCATACATTGAACGTGAAAAACTGAAAGCAGCAGCAGTAGTACCCACAGATATCTATCTTGCAGAGAGCTAATCTCATGAAAATTCCTTAGCTACATCACAACCTCGAGCTAACTCTCGGATTCATCAGAACCAAACATTGATTATACACTCAGATCCACAGAATCAGGACTACCAACAGATCAAAACCTCAAAACTGTTTACAACCCAGCTCAAAGTCGCGGAAATCCTCCAACAAAACAGCGAATTCAGGACTACCCCAGATGCCAAAAACACGGAATAAGTAATCCACAGAAATCACGACGGCGAAGTGGGATCGGACTTACCTGGAGCAATCTTGAGAAGAGACAGAGGAGGCGGGCAATCACAGGCACAAGGAGGGCAGGAAGAAGCTTTGGAATCAGACAACCTCATCGTCTTCTTGAATCTCCAATAGATTGCTGGCCCGCAGACCGCCAGAGCCGAAACCACCGCGAATATCACCAAGCAACACCTCAAGCAAGCTCCTGATCTCCTCGACATTTTCCCCTCCAATCTGGAAAAATTCCCCTATCTACCTCGGCATCTACCTATATATCTCAGTGTCTCAGTTCTCATGTATCGAATCAGGCGAGACGAGAGCCGCCACCATTATTGCGCCGCGTTGATATAAGCAGAGCGAGCCTTTTTAACTTTTCCCCCACTTTCCACTCTCGCTCGTTTCGCTTTCCCTGTGTCTGGTAGTGAGCGTCGGTGGTTTTTGGCGATGGCGACAGTGGAGAGTGAAGTGAGAGAGAGAGAGAGAGAGAGAGAGATCTGAGTGAGGAAGATGGAGCTTTGAATTGATGGGTCGAAATCGAAGAGAGGAATGAATCTACCTCGGGGATGAAAATGTAAAGCTTGGTTCTTTTTTGTTTCCTAATTTCCTCTTTCAAGCTCTCGCTGTAAATAAAAGATCAAAGTTCAGGTGAATAATTAATTATTAAGGGGGAAACCGGAATTGGAAGATAATAATTTAATTTGCTTCTGGGCAGAAAATCAAGAAAATTAGGGCCGGTGGTTTTTTTATTTGTTGTGGGCTTTGACTTTATGGGCCGCATGGTGGGCCTTGGTAAACGCTCAAGATTTGCTAGGCTGTTAGTTAACATGTTATGATTGGTGGGCTCATGCGACTAGGAGTTATTGATATTTTTCGGTGTAAACCAAAATCCAACAAATAAAATCTATGAGTTTTGAGTTTTTTGATTTTAATTGATTTGCATTTTAATGGTTTGGATTTATATTCGGATAAAAAAATCGACAAAAATAAAAATCTAACCCGAATCTTGCTCTAACCGAAAATATTACAGGGGTTCTATTTGTTCTACCTGATAAGTTTTTTTTATCATTAGTGACGTGATATTACTTGATTGCAAGGATCACATTCAACCATGTACCCTTCTGTGTCTCACGTAGGGGTGTCGATTCGTTTCGGTTAACCACATAAGCAAAATTCATGAACCTACCAAGGAACGCTTTTCAATAAATAAGTGAAACTCATGGGCTATCGCGCTCAGGTTGGGCAGTAAAAAATGGAGAACGGCAATTGCTTTCTTAAAACCCATGCTCTAAAGACAAAAGACTACTAGAGGTGAATAAAGGCGGTGGGAGAAGCTCTCCATCCCTGACATTCCAATAGGTGGATCATGCGGGGAACCTCAACAATCCTTGGTTAGAATGAGATTCCATTTTTTTATCAGAGTCGCTCTTTGGAGAGCACAATGCGACTGTGAAAATTGTAAGTTGTGTTCGAAAGTGAGGTATCGTCTATCGTTGTTGGGCTGTACCGCGGAATCAATTTCGATTCATCAAACCATGCTCGGAATAATTACTAATAAACAAATGTTCAAACAACAACGGGACCGCATCATATCACAGTTAGCATTAATTTTTATTTTTTAATCACATCTTTCGACCAAGTTTCGAGCTATGTATGATGACCACCACTTGGTTGCAATCTAGAGGGTGCGGATACTATAACAACACCTCCTTTGTTGTTATAGTAATAACAAGGGTAAAATGGTCCATTAACATAATATCTAACAAATTAAAAAAAACAATATTCAGCTGCAGCCGATCTCCTTCCTCGCGTAGATCTTTCTTCCTCGTCGGCTCCTTCTCCTCCAATACTCTCCCCGGCGCCGGCGCCGGCCAATCTGAACCTTCGAACCTCTCCACGTCGTCTCGCAGGAACAGCAAACGCTTCGCCTGTGGGTTGCGGCGGCGGCGTTGCTGACGTGGAAGGCCTGGCGTTGCACGAACCTCACGACCGGTGGCGACTTTCCCGCTGGTGACCGAGGAGGGGTTTCGCGCCAGCTGGTCGAAGTGGCCTGCGACGACGGTCGTAGAGAAGGAGGCAGAGAATGGTGGCGATGAGGATGATTACCAGGATTTATAAGCCAGATGATGACCTCGGCATACAAGTCGAAGTCCACTGCATGTCCGCCATTGCCAGAAATTGCATAAGGCTCCGCAATTCCTCTCATCTACAGACTACATGATGGCTTATTAATGACAAATCTCCCAATCTTCAAAATACAGGAGCAGAAATAGAGAAGAAAAAATCAATATAATGGGGGATCTCTACGCGTTGGACTTCGACGAAGTTCTATGCGACAGCTGCGGAGAAAGCTCTCTCTCCGCCGTCATGGCCCGTCTCCTCTTTTTTCCCTTCGCTTTCTGTTAGGTCTCGCAGAGAGAACTCCAAGAACTCTTAAGCATCAAATTTGAAACCTTCCGTATGTTAGTTGGGTACTTTTAGGCTCTGAAAGTGAGATGCCAGATCTGTTAAGAAAAGAAGTGAAAAAATTTGGGGATAATTGAACATAAAGGAAAGCCAATGCTAGGAATTGTTAACTATTGTTTAAAGTGTTTAAGAATGGTTTTTAATGAAGTCTAACTGAAGCAAAAAGCAAGCCATAAATATTTGATATACACACCAAAAATCTTCTAAAACATAGAAGAAAGCTCACAAAGCAAACTAGTCACGTGCCCGGCCGGTTGGCCGGATTCGTTTATAAATCAAGAAAATAGTTTAACCGACATCCTCTTTAACCATAAATATAAAAAGAGAATAAAATATTTCAACCGACATCCTCTTTAATTCGAAATATAAAAAGAGAATAAAATAGTTCAACCGACATCCTGACCGACTAAATTCACGTACGATAAATGAAAGAAAAACCCCATGAAAGAGAACCGACTCCTAGAATTGCTTTAAAAGAATCCTTCTATTTACTCCTCATCGTCGGAGACAACTCCATTTTTTTTCCTGGTTCTTTTCACTTCTTGGCCTCAATATTTGACATTTCGATTCTATATTTCCTGGAAGCTCTTTTTTATTATGATGTGTTCTTAGCCATTAAAATTTTGTTTGTTTTTTTGTCCTAATTATTATATGGTACCCACAATACAATTCTATTGTTGTGAGTCATATTTATCCCTGCTCTGTTTAGCTTGATTTGTGATCAATTAGAATCGTTATTAAATGCATGTCAATGTTTTATGTAGAAATGAAATCAGTAAGATGCAGATGTACTCATATTAGGGGTTGGTTTTCTCATATTGCCTTCGGTGATCCTTTTTCTAGCCACAATCATTCTAAGGAATGAATTGTTTTTTATGGGACTTGGTTAGTACTCATCAGTTCTATTCCTGACATCTTTGGTGGTTTTTGCTCATTTAATTTAGAGGACTTTCAAATTGGTTTGTTGTCTATCTATTCTCGCAAATTTTATTTAGAATTTCATGTGATCACTCTGCCTCAACCATCTAAAGCACCGTCATCCCCACCAATTATAATGCATTTTTCTTTCTTCACAATAGGTTGTTCCTACTTTTTTTATTAGACGCCAATCTTTAATAGTAAAATGTTTAAAACACTAAATATTAGTAGAATTTTATGTCTCATGGACATTTTATCAGATTTCTTCTTTCCCCTGATGCAAACAACCAATAGACCAACATATAAATTTGATAATTTATAGATTGAAAACTTAACGAATAATTTGTAGGCATTGACTATTCGCCAATAAATACGTTTCTTCTTTCTCGTATATCTGCAAAATTTATTTTCAAAATTGGCTAGGAAACCATGGTGGTCAACTATGAAAATAATTAAACCTACCATGAATGTCATTTTTTTATCTGTGGTGGTTTTATTTATAATTTATAAATCGTGAATTAGGTGGGGAGTATCATGATAGGAAGATTGGAAGCTTAGTTAAAGTCTAGTAAGGGAGGCGAGACCCACTTTCATAACAAACTAACAAAAAATTGATGGTGGGAAAACACGATTAGGAATTGTTGCATAGATTGGGTACCATTATAGAAGAATTAATAGTTCATGAATGCTATCATATATGATATATGATGCTAGATAACATACATTTTATTCCAAATATGTCAAAATGGATACTATTTTGTTAGTATAGTTAATTTGATGTTTAGTTAATATCAATTATAAAAATTGTAATATGAATAATTGAAAACTAATAACAAAGTGGTTATGAACCTTGCTTATACACCAAATTATATTAATAAACTAACAATATTATAAATTAGCTAAATGAATACAGTAAAACAAAACTGCTAATAATAATTTCAATAAATATGTAGAGATGAATTTTACAATGCTTTTATTTGAAAAAAATGTATGTATAGTACAAATTGAACTTATATTTTTAACGTTATAGTCAAATTCATTTTGTGTCTATACCTTTTCGTACAAATATTTTTCTACTACAAACTAAATTGTACTTTTAATGTCACTTTACAAATTTAGTTGTACATATATCTTCTCATAAAAATTCATTTATGATACAAACGGAACTGTCCTTTAACGTTATAATATAGTTTGTATCGATATATTTTTGTACAAATTGAATTTATACTTTTAACATTGTAGCACTAATTCAAATTGTATTTGCAAACACTAATATAATAATATATGATTAGAAGGAAGTAATTAGAAGTAATTTTGGACTTATATGACCAATATAAATTAAAACAAAAGCCCCATCCTCAGCGCAGTACCCCGGAAAAACAGAGGCTTAGCCCATCTATTGCATTTATTTATGGCCAATCTAAATGAGAATCAAGGGAATTAGCTCAAGGAAGAGCCATTCAGGACACCACTGGTAATTGAATAAGGATATGATTATATGACTACTGATAGAGCAAGTTTCAGTTTCCCTGCGAGCAAACTAAACTATTCAAGACTGAAATCAAAATCATACTGAAAGCAAGCCAGAATCAATTGCACAAATCAACATACGCTGAACTATTTAACAGTGAAAGGAACAATCCTCATCAAACGAAATAAATGGGAAAAAAATACAAAAAGAGGTAAGAAAGGATTACAGGTGTGAACCTTACTGTGAAGAAAGACTTGTGATGCTAATAGCCGCTCAAGTGCTGCTGTTGTTTTATCCCAGTGGTGGCAATTGTATTCGACCGAGGGAACAAAGATTGGTGGAGCAGACCTAATATATCTACGCACCCAAATGAAGAGCGAAAGCTTTCAGCAAAACATGGGCAAGGTTCATCTAAAGAATTCAGGAACAAATGCAAAAACATAGCCCATCTCTCTATTAGCCAGGAATTTTATCGGGGGAAAGAAGTGGCTAATTAGGTTTTCTATTCGGGGGTAGTGCCCCTTCTTCCAGGTGTGTACATAGCTAGAAAGAAAATTGGTATGGAAGTGGGTAGAGAGAGAGGGATACCTCGCCAGTAAATTCTAGGACCAGCACTATGGTTCAATTCCTCTTCGACCGCTGGAAACCACTCCTGCGGCCAACTAAACGACCAAGGGGAGAAGGAAGGGGAAACAAAATCTCCACATCCATAACACGGCCTGCCGGATTTAGG